AAATCTTAAACTGACAGCAAAATTTGCGACCTGAGTATTGTGGTGATTTAACGTGAACTAGACGCAACATGCTACCGTGGATCCTGAGAAAATATTTTCAATAATTAATCTTACTAAGTACTATGTTCTCCGTAATGTTTGGTTTACAAACAGAGGGCCTGCTTTCCGCAGAAGTAATGTTCATTTCAATCTCACACAAGCAAGGCCGCTTGGGCTGAACTGACATCGCGTGTCTCCGTTAACGTGATTTCTGTGGTTGGAGCCCGACTTGCGTCAAGGTAGAGCCAGACAGAAGTAAGCAAAACCAGGGGCAGAGATTGCAGTGACCCTGCAGAAACTGTAGTTTTAAATGAAGCAAATCATCTCTGATGACTGTTATTGAGTTCTGATATATGCAGATAAATCACTTGTACTGTAATTGCAGTTTCAGGGAAGATTGCTTTCCCGTCATTAGGCTTTCTGGAAAGTTCTTTTGTACTGGTGCTTTTTTTTCCTGCTAGATTTATGTTACCATCTAGAAATCTGGGCAAAGAAACAAACTGCAATATCGGCAGTTTTCTGAATCCAGATTATGTAGGTGTGAGGAGTGTAGCTGATTACACTGAAATGCAGGGGCAGTGGGAGGGTTAGAAGGTGCTAACAAAATAAGAAATGTCCTGGCAGCCTCTCCCAACATCTCTTCAATACACAGTCTGGCAGAAACAACGTATTTGTTATTAACTTGACAGTTAATAACTGAACTGTTCCAGCGGTGAGCATTGTGTTCATTGGTACAAATTATTCTCTCTTTATGTATATATTTTTGGATGGATTTCTACCAAGCAAGCGATAAGAAACAAAAGTCACGCTCATGTTTTGTGACAAACTTAATATCTGGGCACTCATTGTAGCTGCAGTGGTGATGCAAAAACTACTTTGTAGCATGAATTCTACATAGAATTTAGAATTGCCTGTCTTGTCACTCAACCTCGATAGTAGTGCTTTCATGGAAGAAAGTTTTTTTTTTTCCCACTTTTAGATTGGAGTTTATCAACTGAGCCAGTGCTCATCCATGGCAGACTGTCAGTGGTTTGTTTGCTATCTTGAAAAATGATGCCACAGATTGTGACTTGCTATTATCTGACTCCCATATAAGTATTAAACATATTTTCTTGCATGCTCCTTTATCCCTTTATGAGTAACTAACGGTGTTCGACACCACTAGTGGAATTATTCTGTCAAGATGAGTTAAAAGGTGTCTTGTAGCCTTTATGTTCGGTCATATTGTTTTCAGGAGGATTAGTTAATGAATTGCTCGGTGAACCATTGTGCTGCATCTTCTGTGTCGTGTGCAGGGATTCTTTTTTTTGTGGAATGCAGCACCTTGTTTTATTTTACAAGACATTTTCATTAGCTCTCCTACCCACAAGTGGTGATTTTAATCAAAGTATGGGAAAAAATACTGTAACACGAACCAAGTGTCTCCTTCACCTCTGCTACCTTGACTCTGTCTATTCCACGTCCTAAAAAAACTGTAAATGCCTCAGTAAGCCCCTCTCTCTTGCCCACCTTTGACTCTCTAGGTCCCTCCTTCACCTCCTCTCCACCCTTTAGCCCCCTGGGTTCTCTTCTCTCTCTGTGTGGGGGTCCTGACTTCCCTGACCTGCAGCAAGGGGGCTGGGCCCTAGCCCAGTGGCTTTCAGCTGCTTTCTGAAGCCAATAAACATTCCCACACGGATTTTCTCATCGGGCGAGGTTGTTCCTGAACCGAGCTGCCTAGTTGAGGCTTGTTTCTGCTCTCCAGCTTGGTAGCTCTGCCTGCTCTGCCACTGTGTGAATCGAAGGTCAGCCATCAAGCCTGGAGCAGTGTCTTGAGAGCATTCTGTTCATTAGCCAAAAACTATTCGTTCATATCTGCGAAAGCTTACATTTGTTTCACTAGTTTAATGACAGTGCTTGTTTGATACAATGACTCTGTGTTTGTTAAAATTACAAGCACTGTGTCGCCCATGCTGTATATTGGAAAGTGACTAATAGTGGCTTTCAAAGACAAAATTCTTGTTGGTTTTTGAATAACCTTGGTCAGACCTGAGGAACCAGGGAGGTTCTCTCAATTAGAGCATCTCGCGCTGGGGGCAATATGTTCCGGTGCCTGGCGATGTCATAATTAAGGTAATTAACTGCTTAATTAATTGAAGTGGCCAGCATGATCCAGTAACCCAGTAACTGTTCCTGGCGCCTTTTATTCCCCAGCTATGTCAGAGGAGCGGAAACACAAGTCCGCGTGAAGACGAGAGACGAGTGTTTCCTCTCCGCAGGGAGGTGAACGCCGAAGAGAAAGATCAGATCTAGCGCTGGTGTGCTGATGGATGTGTCACACTAGCTCACTTTTTTTTTTCCCCCTGCAGGTCATTTTTGAGCGGCATGCGGCAAGTTCTGTCTCGTGTCAGAATTCGTGGGATGATGTTATGAGCTCGCCCAGTTTTCCGTAGAGACAGTCCACTCAGGGAAGTGGCAAAGGTCAGAACAAGAGGTTTCTGTAGAAGGGAGACGCAGACTCCAGATTCCAGTGAATATAGCGCTTCCAAAGCAGCTCAGAGTGGCCTTCTCCAAACTGCCCAGGCTAGTCCTTCACTACCTCCCTGCTGTAAATACGATCTTAAAAGTTTTGTTTTTAGTGTTGTTAATAATTGTTATATCGGCTTTTGACTATACTTGCTTCTTATTTTGACAGGGTAATAGGCACAGCTCTTGATATGTTCTGCAGTCAATTACTCTCATTTACGGCATGGAGCACATTTCATCCCGAGGGATACAAAAGCACTTTGCACTTAGGAGGGGACCTACTGTACTTTATCCACTACTGCCATGCAGCTTCCATCTGGGTGACGGAGAGTAACCATTCTGCACCAGCAGCCCCAGGCCAGGTAGAGAAGGGAGACATTGCCAGTTAGGGGATACTATAGGGAGGCCAGATTCTACAAACAGTTAAATTTGGCCTGGTTTCTGCAGACAGCACAATATTACTGCCTGTATGGCAGGATCTCGAATATTGAAGTAGCCCGGATCTCATCTGGAGGACACCTCCTGCTCAGTGTGTCCTGTCACCATGCTGGTCCAGAAGAAAGACGGATACCTACTGGAAATCAGTAACCAAGTAATCTTTCTCGCAACCAAGTACTCACTTCCTTTTACTGTCCCAGATGGGAAATTGGCTTTACCGCAAAAGACATAACACAACACACAATAGAGTTAACACAGCACGAGTCCATTAACAAACATGTATGCTGATAAAGAAAAAAAATATTAAGTAAAATGTAAAATCAGTTGACCAAATTAAGCGGGTTAATAGCTGTGGGAATAAAAGATAACCTAGTTCTGTTACATTTGAAACTAGGTGGTCTAAATGGAAGGAGCTCAAACTCATTCTGCAAGGGGTGGTTATGGCAGTCAGTGAGTATATTGGCCTATTGCACTTTTTGTTTGACGTAGTTGGTCCGAAAGCAGTAGCTGTTGCGCCCCAGTAATTGTGGTGCCTACGTTCTCAGTCCTGCTCAGTCTGTTTTTGTTGTGTGTGCTAAGGTTACCAAACCAGGTTACCGCAGTGACCAGCCCGACTTGCTTAGCCTCTGAGATCTGTTAAGATCAGACTAGAAGGTGGTAGTGCTTTTGTCATTTCCGGAAGAAGTCATTCAGTCAGATGTGTCGACACACCCTGGTGTGTTGAATGAAAGAGTACAGAGATATTTAACAAGAGATAATGCAGGATGTCGCCTTAAACCGAGCAGTTTCTGTGCTTCAAGGAGCTGCACCCTAGATCTTGCTCTGTTGGGCTTAGGGTCTGGCGATACCGATTCTGTGTTGGGTTACATTTTAGATTCAGGTCCAATACAGGGGGTGAGGGATTGTTTAGTACTAGGAGTGCATTAAAGCTTCAGAAAAAAAATTGAGACCACTTTAAAAAAACATGTGCATCACATTTTATTGACACTCTGTGGATTAAAGCCAGCCCTTCTAGGTTAGGATGAAATATGCACAAAACAAAGCTGGCAGGTCATTCCTGTTTGGGCACATTTTTGCACGTCCAAGTGAATCAGTGCTATACTGAGTTAAGCCTTATGGATAGCATCACATTTTCTTTACTCAAGCAATCTCCCTGTAATGGCCCTGTAATGCTGTTTTTAAGTCTTATCAGTTTTATTTATTTTATAAAACATTCCGTTCACTACATGTGTGATCTAATATAAAAAGGAAGCACTTCACAAAAATGCTGTTTGAACCCTACTCCCATATCTTAAATCTATACTTCTGATTATTGGCACTCTGAAATGACTTTGATGACCCTTAGTATAGAACAAGTTCAGCATGGGTTTATTCCATTCTGAAAAGTATAGTATAGAATGTGTTCCAACCCACTAGAGAGTAAAAATCCTCCTGTGTAAAGAGAATCGTAGCTGCAACAGTATTTCCCCTCCTGATATTTACTCTTAGGTTTTGGGCATGGAAATGTTTGCTCGCCTTCTGCATCAAGAATTAATGGCTGTGGTGGCTCTTTCTTACAGAGGCGTTTACATGATCGTGTGAATGCTGATTGTTGGATTATAATACAGCCGAGTTCCAGGGGCCTTGGTGAGCAACAAGATCAGGGGTTCGAGTCTGGATCTGGGCACAGGCCAACCAGGAAGAGGCTGACCACCGCTGTGGGGAGGGGAGGGAGGGATAGTTGGGCAGGGCTCTCTGTCACACAGCGCCCCCTGCAGGCTCATGCTGCTATCAGAGAGGGTGAAACCCCTCCTCTGGTCAGCCCTGAACAACTGGCAAGAGACATGGAAAAACACAGCTGGCTATTTCCAATCCCGTGGGTTGAGCAAAACATGAAAATCCCAGATTAGAAAGTTTTTTTTAATAAAAAGTTCAATTCTGTTATTCCTGCTGTGATTCTGCCACTTTCCCTCTTACCTGCTGTACTTGAATGAGTAACCATGTATGCTAACCATCGTTTCCGACGATTCCTTCCCCAGAACACTGTCTCGAGGTACGGCTGCCAGTTCCGAGGAAACTCCCAGCACGACGCGCTGGAATTCCTGCTCTGGCTGCTGGACCGAGTCCATGAGGACGTCAACTCCTCTCCCAACAGCAACGGCGGCAAGACCAAAGCTACTGGGAAGGTAAGAGAGTCCCTGGTTCCTAGAAGACCACCTAGTGACAGAGAGCAGGCTGTCACCATGAACACGGGCACCCGTATCTGTTCTGCAGTAGCTTAGCCTCTTTCAGGAATGTATGGGAGTGCACAAGATGCCCAGATGTAGCCCGCTGGGACAGCTTAGTGCATGAGAAAGAGAAAGCTTGACACGTATGAGCTGAAGCTGCTTCTCCCATCCTCGCCCAGTGACTAAGGACTGCTGGTTTGTTTAACAGGCAGACACCATTCCTGCATTGCCAGATAAATAATTCAGCTTCTGTGCTACTTTTACAAAAAAAAAACTGCAGCGCTGTAGTCCACAGCCGCCTAAGCGCAGACAATGCATCCTCTGCCAGTGTGCAAGTATGCGCGAGCATGTCTCCTTACAGTGCGAATTCCATAGAATGCTTTCACAAAGCCTGGAGGGATACAGTTGGGCTGTATGCATGCCGAAAGGCTGGGTGGCAACAAAATCAAATCGCGGAGCGCTCTGGAGAGTGCCATGCCGAGGAATTGTAGTAGGGGGATTGTTCTCAATTAAAATGCCGTGCCTTCCATGGGGGCCTGCTGATTTCTCTTTACAACTGGCTGGCCAGCTGCGATTGTGCCCTCCTGGCTGTTTTATCTCGGCTGTGAGAGGCGGAAATGCTGGCGCCCACACTCCAGGGACTCACACATCTTCAGGATTAGGTTTCTTCCAGGCTGGGCAGGCTAAGAACTGCTGATACCAACATTCTGGATGGTGACGACCCTTAAGATCTTTTAAATATATTGCCGATGGAATAAAGAATAAAATGATGTAATTGGATGATGTTTTCCTTGCATTTTGGTGCTGTGAAACACCTAAATAGTTTCCGTAATGCTGTAAGGGAATTTATAAGCACACAAATAGAACTTAGAGCTGTTTATTCTTTATTAAAATGTTGTTGTTTTACTCCTTTTTTCAGCATGGAATGTGATGCAATAACCTCCTTTCAAAGAGCAAATCTTGGTTTTTCTTAAAGCTTCCCTGCAGGACCTTACCTGTAACTTCAAAAAACCTTGCATTGATTTTGAAAAATGCAAAAGCTTAAGCATTTTGAAATCTCAAAGCAAAAGCAGAACTATTTAGAAATTAGACCAACTGGAAAGCTGCACCAACTTCAAACACTGGGCCGTTGCCTGTGCTGAATACTGTGGAGTTTTTCAAACACGCAGTGAAAGAATAATATTTGCCTTGTGAGAAAAGATGGCAAGCCACTTAGAAAAAGCCTTATTAGATCTGAAACAAGTGAGTGTAAATGAAAATAAATACTGTGTGTGCCCCTTTCTTGTTACTTGGTTGGGTGCCTTAATGAACCAGATGAAATCCTATGCTGTGTACTGAATAGAATAATGAGGGGCTGTATTTTGCTTGATGAACACAGGTCTCTTTAGATGGTCTTCCTTCAATACCTGAATAGGAAACTCTTTCTCAGAGGAGGTCGTGCTGCTTTCCATTGCCTGGCCTGCATTCACAGCTCTTTCTGAGACCAGGTCCCACTGTGTGGAACATTCATGCTTGTTTCCCAAACCAATCAAGGGTTTCAGTTTTCTAAAGGAAGTGATTTTTTTGCTTGTTTGTGGCCAAAGCTAGCATTCTCTGCCCTGGCTAATATTCTGTGTTCAGATGCAGGGACTGATTTTTTGAACAATTAATCCCCCTTTACCTCCCTGCCCCTACCTTGAGATGGCTAATTCTACAGTTTTGTAGGAAGTTCGAATGAGGTCATAGAAGAATGGACCATTTTCAGTTGTATTCTTCCTATCTTGCTCTTTTGATTGCTAGTGACTAATTGATTGCAGATTCTCATTTAGGCACTTCTCTAAAGCACATTGGAGTGACAGCTTCAACAATCAGCCAAGGCACTTAGTTTCAGATGCCAGGACTCTCTGAATAAAGAAATGCCTTCTATTTCCAGCCTTAAAAGCGTCGACCTCTTAATTTACACTTGTGACCTAGACTTTGTGCTTTAATGCGGATCTGGAAGTGATCTCTGTGATCAAACTGATGTTAGGACATGTTGTAGGTGTGTCTGCATGCTCTTTCGGAATCCAGATTGCAAAGCTGCATGTTCACACCAGTCTGTACTCATCAGAGTTAAAGATCCCTTCAGGTTTGGTAAGGTGGCAGCTTCTTCTCCTGTAAAATAAACTCCCATTCTTGAGATGATTGTAGAGCAATTTTCCTTCCATAAAAAGGCTTTCAACTGTACAGGAAAAATTCCAGAAGTAGCCATTGCCTACTTGGTGGAAACAGTTAAGAATACAAAGAATGAATTTCCGTTAGAACTTTGTAGACCGACAAGCAAAGGGTGAAATAATCTTTTTTTACCACGAGAGGAGGTGACAGCAAACCGAAACCCGATGACATTAAAGATCAATTGTGCTTTCTGAAAGAGGCCATGTGTAAACCCTGGTATTGTTCTCTCTGAATTCAGGTGGTGAATTACATTCTCACTCCTCCCCCTGGTTTGTTGCCTAGTGGGGCTCCTGGTGCAGTATGGGTACTGTGCGTTACCCATGTGGTACTTCTGACAAGGATGAAGTGGGACCTTCTATGTGTAAAGAGGTTTGAGATCCTTAGGGATGAAAAGCACTTTATAAGTCTAAGGAATTATTATAATAGGCTTAGTGTGAGAAATGGAAAAGGCTGAGCTCTTCGGCTGTGGTTAAGGAGATGGTGCAGGAGGCCAGGCAAAGAGCTGAGTCTGACTTCTGTCTGGACAGAATCCCAATTTTGCCTGCGTTCGCCTCTTGAGACTGGCACACCGTTAGTGTGAAAAGGTGCCTGCGCTGAGATGAAAGACTAGTATAATAACAGCCGAAAGATAATCGTATCATCCCAGGTGTTTGAAATCGATTTGCAAGAAAATGTAAATACAGGTGGTGAAATGGTTTCTCTCTACAAGCGAGGCAAGTAGAGCTGTAAAAGAAAATGAGATAAAAAATCAAAGGGGGCTAGGAAAACTTTCAGGTATTCTCACTTTTGAAGATGGATAGACAGCTCGTGCAGCAGGAGGTAATTAAAGTGGCCTTCCAGCATTATTCAAGATGAGCGCTGTCACTTTGGCAGCGTGTTTTTTTTTCCCCCACTGCTTCAGTGTTCGGTGTTGTACTGCAGATGAACAAACCTTCCCTGTCGAATAGTTTTGAAGCTGCAAATAGCTGGAGGTCCTTGCCGTCTATGGAATAGAAATCTGGACCCCGCAACTTTGCTGAAGTCCTCAGGTTTGCTAGGAGGCAGCTGCCTGCCAGGGACTGCAAGGGCAGAGGATATAGCAAGAGACTCGAATTGAGCCAGATGGTGGTTGGAAGGGGTGAGAATACTCGCAGAGGCAAAACACAAGTCTTCCAGTTACTCAGGCTTGTGTAGGAAAGACGCTTGAGCATGTTTTTATATATGATTTTTGATCCGTCTCGGTATAAACTGTGACATCTTCCGGAGTTATGGCTGCTAGTTTTCCAAGTAAAGTTCATCTCCTCTGGAACTAAGCAGATGACAGGCTGATATTGTTCCAGCCCCGGAGTGCCTGACAGCCAGTGAAAAGCCCTGAGAGATAGGAGGGCTCCCCCTACTGGTTGGCAAAAAACACAAACGGAACTAATGGTTATTTTGGAGCTGTGGCATATTCTTTAACACTCTAGACTGTGATTTATATTCAGGGAGTTGAAGTATTTTGTGAAAGTTCCTGACATTCACAAATATTGGCATCTTATTGCAATTTTTTAGATTTCAGTTTCACTGCGCAGTGAACTAAGGAATAGGCTACAAAAGCATTTGAGACCCCAGTTTTCAAGCATTTTTGTGTCTGGCGCCATTACAAGATGCAATACAATGGAGCATATGAGGTATCAGAGCAGGTGTGAGCCTGTCTGTTCTACAGAGCCCTCATTACCAGAGCATCGGCCTGTGTAGCTGTGATATACAGCTATACCAAACAGACTTTTTAAATTGAAGTAAACAGCTCTCATTTTCCTCTACGGGCAAGAGCAGAGCATTTGTAACTCATGCTTGGATGGAGTGTCCATTTGAATGATGTGTAGGTCAAGTGCTGGGGAACGGTTCTGTTCAGGTATGGACTCAGTTTGTTCTGTCTTTCATTACTGTTTACTGTAGCCAGGACCACGCAAGCAGACAGAATTGCTTCTTACTTGCAGTACGGTATAGGTGGCACACCTGGTGACCTAGAAGTGATAACTCTAAATAAGAGAGAGGACAAAAAAGTTCTTATGTGTGTTTTTTTAGAACAGCTCATCCTGCGCTTTACAGCCTCCCCTAAATATGTCACAGGAGCCCATAAATTGAATCCTGCTGTGATTTTCTCATCCCCAGCTCGTTTTGTTCAGTGACTGATGCACGGTGGTGGAGGGGGCAGCTAATCTCAGAGGCCGTCTGTTAGAAAGAGAAAGGGTTTCGGACAGCTGGACACGCGGGTCGTGTGTCTGTCGCTGCTCTTCGGAAAACCCTCAGAGGGGGTCTGGAACGCTCTGACCTATGCCGGAGGAATGCGCCGCGAGCGGAGGTCTGGTTTGTGTCACCCAGCCGCAGAACTGGATAAAGAGCAGATGAAAAGCTTGGAATGGGAGGCGAGAGTGGAATCTGGAGAGCTGGTGCCATTTGACTGGCATGAGGTTCAAGTCTGGTCTTGCTAAAGAGTAATAATCCCACTCCAACTCCACTCATAATTTTTAAAAATTACCCCCGTTAAATCCTTATCTCTCAGCCTTCTATGAGAACAGAAGGTCTGGGTGCCCTAATGTTGCTCTGGGCTTATTATGTATGCATGTATTCCAGCTTAAGTGTTGATAATGGCTGGCCCTTTTGTCTTGGGCGTTGAAAAGTTGCCTTGATGTAAACTGCTCTGACTTGGTAATTCAGTCTCTGGGTGCCGCTGTGTCTTTGCTGGCAGTCAATGGACCTCGGCTTCCATACTTTTAAATGGTGTCAAATGCAAATGTATTAAC